ATGGCGGGATCTCTAGGGTGTGGAAATGTTTTGCGAGATTATACGTGTCCATATATGCTGATGGCCATAGCTCCGTGTGGACGACCTAGTCACCGTCGCGATGAACAACCATTATGTCTTGCTGCTGGTGGTGGTGGTGGTGTGGTGATGGTGGCGGTGGTGGTGGTGGTGGGTGGTGGTGGTGGTGTGGTGGTGGTGGTGGTGGTGGTGGTGGTGGTGGTGGTGGGGTGGTGGAGGCAGGGAGGAGGCAGGGGGATAAGGGGGAAAGAGGAGGAGGTGGTGGTGGTGCTGGTCGGCGGTGGTGGTGTGTGTGGTGGTGGTGAGGTGGTGGAGGTGGTGATAAGTGGTGGTTGGTGTGGTGGTGGTGGTGGTGGTGGTGGTGTGGTTGGTGGTGGTAGGGGGTGGTGGTGGTGGATAGGCAGTGGTGGTGTGGTGGTGTGGTGATGGTGCTGCTGTTTGCTGTTGTTGTTGTTGCTGTGTTTGGTTGTTGTTGTTTGTTGTTGTTGGTGGTGTGGTGGTGTGGGTGGTGGTGGTGGTGGGGTGGTTGGTGGTGGTGGTGGTCGGTGTTGTGGTTCGTGTGTGGTGTGTGTGTGTGCTGGACCGGCGCGGTGGTGGGTGGTTGGGTGTGTGCTGGGTGCGGTGGTGGTTGATGGTGATGGGGTGGTGGTGGTGGTGTGCGTGGGGTAGGCTGCTGGTGTGGTGGTGGTGGTAATCGGTGGTGGTGGTGGTGGTGGTGGTAGTGGGGTGGTGGTGCCTGTGCTCGCTGTTGTTTGGTGGTCGGTGGTAATGGTGGCTGGTGGTGTTGCACCACCACCACCACCACCACCATCACAATCACCACCACCACCACTACCACCACCACCATCACCATCACCACCACCAACAACAACAACAACACCACCACCACCACCACCACTACCTCCACCACCACCACCAGCAGCAAAAGTAACAGTGGCGATAGCAGTAGCAGCAGCAGCAACAGCAGCAGCAGCAGCAACAACAACAACAACAACAACAACAATAACAGCCGCAATCAAGGTAGAATTGAAACCCCGGTGAGTGCTCAGAAGCGAAGCATAATGGTGTTCATGCGAGCGGTGCTAGTCGTTCACACGGAAGCTATGGCATCAGATATATGACACGGTATAATCTCGCAAAACATTCACACCCTAGAGATCCCGCCATAACAAATACAAGAGCGGGTGATTCCGAACGTTGCTGGAAGATTGCTTGGGAGTAGAAGGAGAAGGGGGTGAACTGTTCGCGTTGGAGCGACATCTACTACTGTTCGCAAAGTAATACTCTACTCGTTTTTTGTACGGCGGGGAAGTGTTTTGCCCTTTTTTTTCTCTCTCTTTCTCTCTCCCGCTCTCTCTCTCTCTCTCTCTCTTTCTCTTTTCCTATATCGCTGGCGCGCGCTTTCTTTCCTTCACGCACTCTCTCTCTTTCTCTCTCGCCTTATCTCGTCCGCTCCCCCGCGCCCCAAGTCTCTCGCTCTCTCTTTCTATCTCTCGCTCTCTCTCTCTCTCTCTTTCTCTCTCTCTCTCTCTCGCTCTCTCTCGCGCGCGCTCTCTCTTTCTCTCGTTCTCTTCCGCCCTCATATAACATAAAAACAACAACTGCGCATCAATGTTTTCACTGGCACACACACATACACGCGCAGCACCGACGTGTTGACGGGTGTATATTCGTACTCGCGCACACGGCGGCCGCGGAGGCAAGCGAAAGGAGCAGCGATAGGCCAAGAGGGCGCCATCGCACGTGGCTGCCAGATGCGCCGGTACACGCATCCATCGTACAGAAGCCAACGATTTACTGCATTGCGACACACACACTCGCACGCACACATACACAGCCAGAGCTCACGTACGAGACACGGGCAGCGGCGCGATGCGGTGCGAATCAAAAACTCGGCAGTTAACGAGAGCTAGGATGTTCGGCGACTACATCACCCACCATTAGTGCGTAGAACGCAGACGATCCGCCCGCAGTGACGTACGTGCCGACGCATCCGACGTCGCCACGATGGCGTACGGACATCGAGACGGTGTCGTCATCGCTCTCCGGACGATGATATTTTGCATACCGCTGCTGCTGCTGCTGCTAACTCCAGTTCTGTCCGCATCCATCAGCATCGCCGCAGACGGCAACGACACACACATCGTCGTCGCTCGGCCGCCGCCGAGGTTACGTCGCGACAATCTCGCGCGCTTCAAGGAGACGTTGGAGGCGTTCGCTCGCAGTCGCAGCGACGTCGTATTCATCCTCGACGAGTCGGGCAGCATCGGCGTCGACCGTTTCCCGCACGCCGTCAAATTCGCCGAGCTCGTGACGCGGCTGTTCAGCGTCACTGCCGACCAAACCCGCGTGGCACTGATCACCTTCTCCACGCACAGTACGGTGCACTTCAACTACGTGCGCGACCACGAGGGCAACAACATGTGCACGCTCATCAAGGACTTGGATATCATAGGCTTCAGCGGCGGATGGACGAGAACGAGGGACGCGCTGGCGAGAGCCGAGAAGGTGCTGCAGCACGCGCGCGCAGACGCCAACAAGTAAGATGGCGACGTGTGTGTGTGTGTGTGTGTGTGTGTGTGTGTGTGTGTGTGTGTGTGTGTGTGTGTGTGTGTGTGTGTGTGTGTGTGTGTGTCTGCGTGCGTGCGTGCGTGCATGACACGCACGCACGCACGCGCACGCGCGCACACACACGCACGCGCGCACACACACAGACACGCACGCACGCACGCGCACGCGCGCACACACACATGCACGCACGCACGCGGACACGCCCGGACTCGCACACGCGGGTGTGGTCGCACGCACGCGTGCGCGTGTATTGTAGGCCTTTTATGGCCTTTATGGCCTTTTATGGCCTCACATTTTATGCCTCGCGTGGTGAAAAAGTTTGAGCCAAAACACAAAGACTTTCTGTCAAAGATTTTTAACGCTTGACTGGTCATGGGCGGTACCATCCGTGAGAGGGGAGTAAGGAATAAGGAATAATACGCACATTATTTTCTATTATTATTCACACTAGATGGCGCTAGAACGTCAAAATGCAACATTGCACACACATACATACATACACACATAGATACATACATACATACATACACACACACACACACACGCACACACACACATACACGCACACACGCACACACACATACGCGCGCGCACACACACAGACCCGAACGCACGCACGCACACGCCACACACGCACGTACGCGCGCACACACACAGACACGCACGCACGCACGCGCACGCGCGCACACACACATGCACGCACACACATACGCGTAAACACGCACACAAACGCGCACACAAGCACCCACACACACACGCACACACACACGCACACGCACAAACGCACACACACACATATATATACGCACGCACGCACGCACATACATACGCGCACACTCGCACGCGTGCACACGCACGCACACACATATACGCACGCACGCACAGATATGCGCACGCACTCACAGACACACGCGCGCACATACATACATACACACACACACACCGGTGCGCGCACGCGCGCACACACACAGTTGCGTCTGTGTGTGTGTGCGCGCACCGGTGTGTGTGTGTATACTTTTTCACCTGCCGAGGTAGAATAATACACGCGCACGCGCGCGTGCGACCCCACCCACGTGTGCGCGTCCGGGGCGGGTGTGTGTGTTTTTTGACTGTGAAACGAGTAGTATAGCCGTAAATCCAAATTTTGTGCCTCGGCGGGTGAAAAAGTTTCAGCCGAAACACAAAGACTTTCTGTCAAAGATTTTTAACGCTTGACTGGTCATGGGCGATACCATCCGTGAGAGG